CTCTGCCTTTAATCAGCGTCATATTTCCTCTGTTTCCTCTTTGCTTAGAAAAGTTGAATCAGGAAGAAGGAATTTCATTGATGCGCATACTTGAGTTTTCCTATATTCCTCCATAAACAGTCGAGGAACTAATCTAGCACATACATGGATCCTTGTGAATAAGTAAGTTATGAACAGTATTCTCATTATCATTCAACTAAGTAGACAATCTTCTATCGCCGGTCTACAGTGACAGCGTCATTGCTATTACCACAGCTATTTAAGGTATCACACCGGTAATTGTTTTCACTATATAATTCTATATAGAATAAAAAATCGTTAAAAATCAGGTATTTGTTTACAAGAAAAAATATTTAGCAGGAGGTGTTAAACATTACCTGTCACATTAGCTGACACCAAAAAACAGGGTACCCACACGGCATTTTCGGACTTTTTCCATCTGCAAACAGGGCTACCCTCAAATCCACGTGTTTTCACTGTGTTTATAAACACCTCGAGTGCACTACAGGAAGTAGCCTCCTATGCCATGAAAAAAATAGTTCCTGTCCAAAACCTTTATTTATTCACAAAGTACATAAAATTTACTAGGCACAGGTACCAAAGTTGTAAAAATGGCATGGAAGAAAATAGAAAAACGCCTCAAAAGAAAAGAAAATTAATTCTATATATATGGACCTTCATTTGTACATTTATAATCCGTGTGTCGTAAGGCGACAAAACACATTAAATGAAATCTGATAATTTGCAATTGTTTATTTATGCATATACCTATTTGAAGTTTGCTATGTTTTTTAATGAAAATTGTAATAGGATAGTAACAATTTTAGAAAACAGTGACAATCCATAACACTTTATACTTTTTAGTACAAAAAAATATTAAATTTATATATTAAAATACAGGTAGATATATATTGAGAAAAATTGAAATAAACTTTTATAATTTCCATATCATATTACAAAATCTTAAAACATTTTTTCTTATATACTGCCAGTCGCCATTTGACGTAGCGGGTTTGCTTTGGACTCACGGACCTGAAGAAGTCCATCCTTACCGGCGTCGCGGATTCGACTCCCACTGCGTGACATGGATATCGGCCCTTAATTCAGATTGAGATTCCGTGTCGCAGTAATTGATAGCCAGAAAAATATCCTTCGCTGCTAAAAATTTTATTCTCGATAGGGGTGTTAAACAAACAAAATCATTCATGCCACCGTCTTTCAGTACTCACAGTACTTTGATATGTTTATGTTTTAGGCTACAATACAAACAAAGGTTGAATTTATCCTAATTAAAATAAGGTTAAAAGTTACTATTTCTCTCATTTTTCTTATTAAAAATATCCGAAAAAGAGACTAAGTTCATTTTGATTGGTCAATTACCGGTGTGATACCTTGAAGGACCTTTGAAGGTGTTCGATTTTTTCCATTTTTGCACCTGAGATTCATTAAAGAATTGTCCCCAACATCCCTAAGTCTGGTGATCTAAATCCCCCTTTTTCTGAAGATATGAAGCATTTATCTCCCTTACTCCAGAGCAGTCAAGAACAACACACAGAGCACTCTGGAAGCAGTTTTTTGTGCATCTTTTGAAGCAGAATTTCATCATTAAAAGAATAAGCTTGGCAACCAATTTTTTATCCGTGAGGAGAGTATATGCTTTGTTCTTCACCACAAACAGAAAAGAGTTTACAAGTCTAAGACCATTATGTAATTATTACATAACAAAGTTGCATTTTCCCCTTCAAAGAATGAACAAAAATACAGAAATTGTTAAATACTGGGTTGATAATGAAAACTGTATCTGGTCAATTTATGTTCCAAATAAAGCCTAGGTATGTGTCTACAAGCTGCTGTGCAGAAGTTTATCTAAATGCTGTGTTGTAACTCAGGGCAGTCAAAATGATATCAGCATCTAGGGAGGTTCTTCACAGCTCCCACACTCCATTAAACTGGTTTTGATGATAAGAAACTAGGGACAACAATTCAGATGTAATTTATTGTTGTGATTTATGCAACTGGCTTTCTCTTAAGACACAAATTAGCCATGAAATTTCAATTTAACATGCATAATTATTCTCTTTTCATGGATTTACTCAGGAATTCAAAAGGTGTTTAATGAATTTCCATGATTTATGCAAGATTATATCTTTTTGTTTCAACAAATTTACATAAAAAAATACACATTTAAATTTTAGAATATAAATATTAAACATTTTAATGAGTTTGAACACTTTTCTATGAGACAAAATGCATCACAGAGACCAGATTCAGGACATCCTCCATGATTCTTTGAGGTGGGTGGGTGTACAAAAACTGCTGATAAAATTTATAGGAAGTGATCTGAGAAGAAATGTGCACCTTATTAGCTGAATTATAGTTACTCTGATATTTCAATTATGTAAATATGCCAAATTTCTTCATCAGTTAAATTTGGAATTTATTAATATTTCAGTACAATGATATACTTAATAGATCATGCTCATATAAGCATCACTGACTGAGACTTAATTCAAAAGTGACAGTCAACACCTACATTTAAATGACAAAATAACAAAAAACAGTCTCCGACAAACTGAAAAAACATGAATGTCAGCTGCGAAAGCATAAAAAAAGTCCTAAGAACCACAAGAGGCATGCCATGGTGCTAAGTGACATTCTGCACTACATGTATGATGCATGGTTAGAACTCAGAATAAGTATTATCATGCAGACCTTGACAGTATTTCAGGATTTTTTGGTCATAACCTTCCTTACTGTGAAAAATTCTTAATGAATTTTACTTATGTAGCTTATGTATTAAGTTTATTAGACAGATCTGACTCATTTCATTATTTCTGTTCTTCCAATGCAGTAATGTATGTATCACTGGAGGTCTGAATAAATTAAAATAAATCATGTGTCTGTAGAAATTATCATTCTGTGAAAACATTTTTACTTGTTTACATTTTATCGCAGTTGTCGCTTGTGCTAAAAATTCATTCGCAAACCTAGAATTAGTCTATTCTTGAAAAATCAGCTTTAACACCCTTTACCGCAAAGTCTGTAGACACTATAATTGACTGCGGTCAGCTGGTGCAAATAATGTTAAGTCATATAAAATGAAAAAACAATATTCTCTGACTTCTTTCCACATTTTAAATGCATAATGCTACCTTTTTAGTCATATTTTAAAGTATTGAGTGTAAAAAATAACCTATTGTTAATTTTTAAGCAGAAATCTGTGAAAAATAATGTAAACTCTAATTCTAATTTTAAAATTGTGTGTTTTCAATCAAAAAGTTAATAAAATCACATATTTTGTTGAAATATGCCTTTTAAAAATGAAAAATATCTTTAATAAGGATTAAAATGATTTTTCATAATCACCTTCAAGGTATCACACCGGTAATTATTTTCACTATATAATTCTATATAGAATAAAAAATCATTAAAAATCAGGTATTTGTTTACAATGAAAAAATATTTAGCAGGAGGTGTTAAACATTACCTGTCACATTAGCTGACACCAAAAAACAGGGTACCCACACGGCATTTTCGGACTTTTTCCATCTGCAAACAGGGCTACCCTCAAATCCACGTGTTTTCACTGTGTTTATAAACACCTCGAGTGCACTACAGGAAGTAGCCTCCTATGCCATGAAAAAAATAGTTCCTGTCCAAAACCTTTATTTATTCACAAAGTACATAAAATTTACTAGGCACAGGTACCAAAGTTGTAAAAATGGCATGGAAGAAAATAGAAAAACGCCTCAAAAGAAAAGAAAATTTATTCTATATATATGGACCTACATTTGACTAAGTTCATTTTGATTGGTCAATTACCGGTGTGATACCTTTATCCGTATGTTTTGCTCTATCGGAGGACGCCATAAAAATTTCGCTACAAAACTCACATTTCAATTGTATACAAAAGATCTGGTGATATCTCCATTTAGTTTTCTTCTGTATTCATTTATAGTCTGAATACTACATCTAAATCGAACTGAGCTGCTCTCCAGTTCAGTAACGTCCGTCGCCACTTTTCGTGTGTTTGTTTACCACTTTTCTATTTCAAAATAAATGCTCGAAAAACTGCCAAAAAATTGAGAAAATCTCTTGAAATTTTCAAATACCACACAAAATCTTTGGCAGGAGCACATAGGAGGAAAACGAACGATGGCCGAAAAAATAACGGCACTCTTTATCTTTTGTCTTGAAGGAAAGAGGGTTGTCCCATAGCTAGGCAAGAAGGAAGCAAAGAAAATGTTTGGTTTTTGTCGTAACACCCTGGCAGGGGGTGATATAGTTCTTTTTGAACTCCTTTATTTCTGTGTCAGTTCATATCTTTGAAATAAGCACAAGAAAGAGGACCAGATGGTACAATTAGCAGGTCTACACAACGAGAAGGAGACCACAAGATCAAATACGACATGTCAATGGCAGCCGAATTGGTAAGGAAACAATCTGCTTTTCTTCCACTTTTGAATTTGTGTTTTCTCTTCCCATTTGATCCAGTTGCAAGTGGGCTCTTGATTAATACTTTCAAAATACATGTACCTCAAAATAATATTTTCAACTTTTTATAATGCCAATATACTTTTTCTTTCTAAATTAACATTTCTTGTACATAATTGTTTTATTTAATGTAAGAAATATTAAGATTGACATAGCTGAATTTAGAAGTTTAATAACAATAGCTTTACGTCATATCTCTAGAACGGGTGGATTTCTCATGCACTGATCCTGAACAATCCTGTGAGGCAAACCATCCCCGATTCTATGAGGCAACAAGCGGGATTATCAAAGATTTTTGTGAGACAGTCAACACATTGTTATTAAGTGCATTTAACACCTTTTTATTCAATTATTTACAGTCTACTTCTTTACTATAAGTTTATTATAGACACAAAAAAATTTTTAAGAGTAAATAAATAAAACACTTAATTTAATGTAAACGTTTTTAAGAGCAAATAAATAAATAAGCACATTATAATTAAATTTAAATGTATGTTTTACCGTTTTTATAATTTGATGTCAAAAGTATAACAACTGCTCTCACTTTTCAACATTTTGGGTGTTTCACAAGTACTTTTAAGATTTGTTCCTTTAGTTATTTTCTTCTTTTTCGTAAATATCTTTTTGTACATTAGAATCGTTCTCTTATTGAAAACAAAACCCAAGAATATGAAGACGCCTTGTGATGTGTTTATGACGGAAATAATGTACGTGAAATAACTTGGCGGTAAAAGACCATCTAAAATCTGCAAAAGCCAGATAACCCCTGTTATAGGAAATAAGCGAACACATATTAAAAAATCATTCCGTTCGGGTTGATTGTTGGAAACTGTGGGAGAAAGTTTAATTGTACGTATTGTCTGTAAGAAGAAAAAGACATTACTGATGCAGAGAAAACCAGTCGGAATTAGAAAAGTAAAAATCAAGGCCATCTTTCCATCTATAAAACAATCTTGCTTTCCATAACCAACATTCCCCTGAACTGAAAACATGGTAACAAAATACCCTAAAACAATACAAAGTGGCAAGAGAAAGATATAAATGCAATACTTTATCAACAGGAACTTTTCATTGTATATTTGCAGAGGTATTCTGTCGTGGAAAACCCTATACATATGAAAACAACAGATGTTCATGTTTGTAAAAGACGAGAGCCAGAAGTAATGAAGGAGAATACCAACAGCAATACATTTCCTGTTATTTCTGTTTCCTCCGTAACTCACCAGAGATACGATATTAATGACAAAGATGGTAGAAACGAGGACCATTATTGTTTTCCCTGCAAGGGATCTTAGCTCCCCGAAGAAGCAGTACGTGAGAAAAGTGATCAACAGACAAACACACGATAATATGGAAAATGCAACAGAAAGTGTAAGTAAAATTCTTCTAGAACTGTTTCCAGTATTGATATTGGACGGCAAGGCATCAACACAAACTCTGATCGCCCCATTCTTCGATATATCGGCAATTACAGCAGGTAAAGAAATATCGTAACTCTTCAAAAACACCACATTTTGAATGCTATCAAATTCATACTCCTCTAATTTGAATTCCACCTGTTTGCACATCAATACGTTTGTGATATAAACTGCACGATATCGTAATATACATTGTATGATTCCATGAGGAACCATTAGCCGAATGTGAAGATGGATATTTTTCTGGGTCTAGTTCCGTTCTGTTGATGTTGTTGTTCCCTAAAGAAAAATATTTGTTCTTGAAATCCAACAAAATAAAGGTATCATTGCAGTTACACTCCAAATTAGTTTAGTAAATCGTATTAGCCATCTTTCCGTTTTCAATCGATGAACAGATTCATTGATGAATATCGTAGAGTGAATCCAGCCACGGAATCTTCCGTAGTCCTCCTGTACATATTCGAAACGGAAAATGTTAAATAACAAATGTTGTGTTAGCTTAACGGTTTTCTTAATGTTGATTGGTATCAAATCTGTGATTATATCTTGAATTTTTTCCTCTGATATCTCGTATTTAGAAAATCCCTTGAAAATTATATCCAAATTATATCGAAGATTTTTGGTAATTGAAAAAAGCGGGGTGCAAATTTCTCCACGAATTAAATACTTTCCCGGAAAGCATGTTATATTCCTACAGATTCCCTGAAAAAATAATAAAGGTGTTATAAGTTCAATTATTCATATTATTAAGACACTGGGTATTTCAAATTGCTTTTCAAGTCGCTATCCATCCTAAATATTTTTATATTATATAATATTATAAATCTTCGAAGAAAAATTCGATCATGAAATACCGGTAACTTACAAGGTAAGAGTCGTAAATTTGGTCATTTGAACACCGATGACCAAGCATCGCATCAAAATCCAACTCTTCATAATAACCACTGACGGAAAACAAACTCCGAAGCAAAGGGTACCAAACAAGGGAATTTGATACCAAATTATCTTCCTCCTCTCCTCTTCCCCCACCTAAATCCCTTTCCTTTGAGATGCCGATGCCATTGCATAATGTACAATAGATATTCTTGTAAGGAGCATAGAAATACATCTTTGGGAAAAAATCGCAATCATCAACTAAATCAGTTGCTTTATCAAAAGTTATCTCCATAGCTCTATTTGGGTTGCACATAGCACAGTAAACGTTTGTATCCCCTCCGAACTCATTATACGCTTTCCATTCGTGATTTCGTGTATATGGAAGTTCCTCGCACGCCCACCTTACATCTGGGTCTGTCACTGACCAGTGTCCCGTTTTGTTGCATTTCTCGATTGTATCTACCTTGGGTCCGACACATTTTTGACTGTTTGTTGGCGGATAAAATGTCATATTACAATCACCTTCACGCAAAGATTTGATAAAACTGCTATAATGCAAGAAGTTTGTGTGTTCAATATATGAAAAACAATGTGACTTCATTGTCCAGGGTTTGTAGAGTTTTTCTCTTCGATTTACATTACACAGTAAACAATACATATTTAAATACGGAATGCCTGTAGACACATCCGTGACTGGGTGAATAGAAAATGCATCTCCCGGTGGTTTCCTACACCCTTGACCTATAAATTCGGGATAACGATCTATACCATAACACCCATTTGTCACTAAACTTTCGTTAATTTTTCTATTTGGATCAGATTTCGAAAATATTCTTTCTTTTAAGCAAGTTGTAGGATACATCAGAAACAGATCTTTACAACAATACGTGGCTCCAAGGCGGAAAATGCAAGATGCGTCACATGAGCAGTAAGAGCCGAAATTGAACTGTGTTGGAATTTTGTATTCTCCACACGTGCCAGATACAAAGTCCATTGAATACAACTTATGCACAAGGTTTGTTAAATCACTGTAATTGTGTTTCATCAAAACTAGATCACGTGACTGATTTATCATTTTGATTTCTCCGTACTGTTCAAAAACTTTTTGTTCAATTAAAAGAAAATATTCCTCTGAAAATTTCTGTACATCAACATGAAAGTAAACTAGTGCTAATTGTAACGGGAACCGTTACAGATGTTCCCCAAACGCTCCCCAACTCCTTTTTGGTGCCATATTCCCTGTAAGCTTCATTAAATAAGACAAACTCTGTGCATTTTTGACTTAAACAATGTTTTCCCAGAAGGATACCGATTATATTCAAATTTTAGCATTGCACTCGTGCGCATGTGAATGCATGTGCGTTATGATCATATCATCTTGTCTACACTATCTATATATTTTAATATACAATATATTGAAGCATTCAGTCCAAAAGTATGAAAAATCACTCTTTCAAGTGTATTTTTCATTTCACTCGTTCCAAATGCACGCACGTGCATGCACGTGCATGATGACCATACCTTCTTGTAGGAGTCCCTTATATCTATCTATTCTAAATCCCATCCTGTTTGGTTGAAATACAAGGGAGTTATAGCCATTTCAAGTTTAAGCCAATCAGATTGCAGCACACGTGCATGCGCGTGACTTCATGATTTTTTTTCTATATCATATTGTAGGATCTCCTAGTGCATGACTATGTTTTAAATTTCAAAGCATTTCGTCAAAAAAACAAAGGAAATATAGCCATTTAAAGTTTCAGCCAATCAGATTGCAGCACGCGGGCATGTGCATGAAAATTCTTATATATCATGCTGTAGATCTTCATAATGTAGTTCTATGTTCAAAATTTCAAAGGATTATGACAAGAAACAAGAGAGTTATTGAGACTTTAGTTTCAGCCAATCAGAGCGAAGCGCACGTGCATGCGCGTGAGATCTTACTTTTTTGACCATGTCATTTTGTCTATGCTTCTAATATATACTTATAATATGAGTTTCAAAGCATTTCATCAATAATTTATATATAATGCTGTAGATCTTCATAATGTAGTTCTATGTTCAAAATTTCAAAGGATTATGACAAGAAACAAGAGAGATATTGAGACTTTAGTTTCAGCCAATCAGAGCGAAGCGCACGTGCATGCGCGTGAGATCTTACTTTTTTGACCATGTCATTTTGTCTATGCTTCTAATATATACTTATAATATGAGTTTCAAAGCATTTCATCAATAATTTAAATAGTTACGTCTGTATCATTTATATTGGACATTTCTCGTGTTGCACGTGCGAGCTCTTGCAAGCACATGTGCATGCACATGCTTTCATGATAAATCTTCTATTACAGGCTGTAGACCTCCCTAATGTATGACTTTGTTCAAAATTTCAAAGGATTTTATCAAAAAACAAAACAGATATTGAAACTTTAGTTTCAGCCAATCAGAGCGAAGCGCACGTGCATGCGCGTGCGATCTTGCTATTTTGACCATGTCATCTTGTGCACACTACTAATATATTCTTACATTATAAGTTTCAAAACATTTCATCACAAAATAGAAAAGTTACGGTTATATCCATTATATATTGGTCATTTTAAGTTTTGCACGTGCGCGCTCTTGCAAGCACGTGCGCGCAAAATGACCTTGATTCCGCAAATCTACATAACGTGCCTACTTACCCTAAAAAGGTTTCACCTAAGTCGGATGTGTAGTTTACAAGAACACTCGCGTACAAAATTTTCCCAGGAAGAAAAATAATAATAATAAGAACTAGAACGATACTCGTTGCGAGCAACGAGAGGTCTTCCGTCCGATTCTGAAATAAAAAACGAAAAATCTAGCAGAAAAAGTGATAAAAAAAAAAATCGGACATTCGGGGGAGCGAACCCGGGTCGCCCGTGTGACAATCCAACGCGCTAACCATTCGGCCATTGAAAACACCGCTTCAAATGTTTAATTGCGAATATCTCGAGATCGTCTTTTTCGATTCTAAAAGAAATTACATATTACGCATTTGCAAATAAGTCTCTATTTAAATTAAAAACATCAAAGAAAAATATCAAAAAACAAAAAAATTGAAAATTTGCATTTTTTAAATATGCTTCCGGTAAAAACCGGAAGTGCTGACGACGCACGAAAAGGCGATTCTGCAAACCACAAAGTCATGATCTATCATCTCCAATAAGTCTCCAGTTCATATACTCAACCATTTTCCATAAAAGTGCGCGACAAAATTGCATTTTAAAATCAGGAAATTGGCCATAACTTGGCACCAAAGGCGAATTTTCAAATTTCCGCCTAGATATATCAAGTTCCTATTGATGCGCATATTTCCTGAAAATTTCATTGAAATCCACTGGATAGTTGCTGAGAAATCGCGTGCACAAAATTTAGGGAAAAAATAAGAATAATAACTAGAGCAAAGCTCGTTGCAAAGCAACGAGTAGGTCTTCCGTCCGGTTTTGACTGGAAGTGCCGGAAGTTACGGAACAAAAGAAAGCAATGAGCTTAGTAGTCTCCAGTGACTTTATAATTTCAATTTTGCATCAAAACCTTCAAAATAAGCCATTTTTTGCTACTTCCGGTTTGACCGGAAGTGACGACGACGGACGGAAAAATTACTTTTTATCCTCCCAGAGACATATGTAACCCAAAAACTTGTCAAGGACGGCAAAAAAACGCGTTTTCCGACTACTTCCGGTTTGGCAGGAAGTGACGACGCCGGACGCATTTTGACGACTCCAATAGATTAAGCTTGACATTTTGAACAACTTTGCTTCTTTGACGTATTACAAATTCCAAACACTTTTTGAGATATAAAGGAAAAACGTTCGGCCCCTGTCGGCCCCTAATTTAAGGGGCCAGCCCTTTCTTCAAGGTATCATTTGAAAGATCTTCGAATTCTATACTTTTTTTATTCTACATGTTTTAACAAAATATTTCTAGGTAAAAAGTTATCGTAGAAAAGGTGTTAAAAATTTTGAAATTCTTGATAGGTCTATTTTCGGGCCATAGCGAACATCGGCGCTTCGTACTTCCGGTGGTTGTGATATACGAAATTCACTTCTCCAAAGGTTGCTCTAGCATCACTGAAAATTTCATGCTTCTGTGTTGAGTAGTTTTTCAGAAAACTGCCGGACAAAGTGACCCTCTGAAAATCACTAAAACGCGGAAATCTCAAAACCGGAAGTGACGTCATCAAAACAAAAAAATATATATCTAGTTTTTTTCATGCTCTATCAGTCCTGAAAGTTTCATGAAAATCGAGCGAGCCGTTT